GGGTTCACGGAGTTAAAATCCTAGCCTTCAAGGTATTTAGTGTAGTAGGAAGATGAGACACACACACACACACACACACAATACAGGTTAGAATAATAGAAGTTTATAACAGAGGTTAGATAAAGAGGTCTAAGAGATTGGTGAAGGAGGGAATCACCTCACCTGAGGGAATTGGGAGTTTATTGGAACACAAGAGTTAGTACTGAAAAGGACCTTTAAGATCATAGGATCAGCAACTCAGGATCCTAAAGCCAAGATTTAAATATAGGTCCTCTAACTCCAAACTTAGTAATTTTTCTGCTGTATTCTGTTTATCATAGGATCATAGATCCAGACCTGGAAGGGACCTTCAAAGCTGTCTAGTCCTGACAAAGAGTAAAATAAGCAGAGCTAGGAGAGCATTTTCTACAAGGACAACAACGCTGTGAAGAAAAACTTCAAAAGCTTTAAAAATTCTAATCAATGCATGATCAGTGCTGTCTCCAGAGAACCTATAAAGTAGCAGATTACCCACCTCCTAACAAGGAAGTAGTGATGGACACAAGTTCATAGACATAGAATTTTGGACATACGTGGCCACTGCACAGATTTGTTTTGCTTGACTATACTATTTGTTACAAGAGGTTTTCTTTCAGCTTTTAATTAGAGGGAATGGAATGAGAAGGGAGATTAGCAATAGTGATTTTTTAAAAGAGGGCTATTTAACAATAAGATGTGGTCTGCAAATTCCTGACTCAGTGGAGTCGTTTTTTGTGTAGTTGAGTTTCTATAGGTTGCTCCTGGACTTATTCACAGTTACCCTGCTGGGAGATTCTGCAGGTTTAGAGTGACTCAACTGCTGGCTCTCTCTGATTTCTTGCCCAGGTTTTTTCCACAGCAGGTTTAGATGCAGGGCTAAACATTAGAATTGATTCTCCTCTCTGTTGTTGGGTTTAGAGCCTCACAGTCATGGTTCTGGAAGTTGTTCCTTGCTCCTCACAGATGGCAGGCCACTACTCCCTCATGATCATGACCACTGTTCTCTGCCTGTGACTTGAAACTAGGTAATGGGCAATAGAGCAGCAAAATGATACCTGTTCCTGCTGCCAGGGCTAGCACAAGGGCACGGGGTCCCCTGGGATCCTTTTTCTGCTCTAAGCTAGGAAAAAAAAAGACTCACTGTGACTTTTTGTTGGCTTTCCCAATCAAAATTTGATCTGGTGTTCTTTATTGGTTGTTGTAGGGAAGAATGTGAAAGAGTTAAGACAAAACTATTAGCTCTCATTCTGCCATGTTGGCTCCACCTCATTGATATTTTTGAAACACTGACGATTTGGATCTTGGTCGTGGATGCTGAAGTGAGGCAGCAAGGTGGCTCAGTGGATATAGTCTCTGACCTGGAGTCAGGAAGATCTAAGTTCAAATCTGGCCTTAAACACTTACTAGCTATGTGACCCAGGGCAAGTCACTTAACCTCTATTTGCATTAATGCACTAGAGAAGGAAATGGCAAACCACTCCAGTATCTTTGTCAAGAAAACCCCATGGATAGGGGGTAGCTAGGTGGCACAGCGGATAGAACACAGGCCCTGGAGTCAGGAGGACCTGAGTTCAAATCGGGCCTCAGACATATGATACTTGCTAGCTGTGTGACCCTGGGCAAATCACTTAACCCCAAATGCCTTGCTAAAAAAAAGAAAAAAGAAAAAAAAAGAAAACCCCATGGACAGCATTAGTGTGCTATGATCCATAGTGTGAGAAATGCTAACAGTTTGGTTCCCACAGAACTGATAAGAAAACAGGACAGGGGGAGATTGGTTTATTGGTTTACTGGTTTACACAAATATGTAAACAAGGTGAGGGGGAGATTGGTTTTCATAGACTTTATAGAAACAATAGATATTGCATTGCAAACACAGATGTTAAATGGAATGTTGGGACAGGTTGGGGGTTAAAGCCAAGTAATCCTATATAACCCTTTGCTCCTGGTCCTGTATAGGTATGTGATTCCAATGAGGCAACACACCCAATACTCGTGAGAATTGCTAATAAAGGTATCTTCTCTCACTCCACAACTGTGATTTCCTTATGGCCCAGCTAACTCTTGTTCCAGGAACAAGAGTTCAAAACTCTTCTTGTTCAGCCCAGTGTCAGGCTGAATTCTGAATTGAATCTGAATTGAATTGTGACAATAGGTCACAAAGAGTCAGACATGACTGACTTTCTGCTATCTTAAGAGTTCAGTTCTGTGTGTGTGTGTGTGTGTGTGTGTGTGTGTGTGTGTGTGTGTGTGTTAAGGCAATTAGAGTTAAGTAACTTGCCCAGGTCACGCAGCTAGTAAGTGTCAAGTGTTTGGTCTGAGGCCAGATTTGAACTCAGGTCTTCCTGACTTCAGGGCCGGGGCTCTATCCACAAGAGTTTAGTTTTGAAAAGCATCTAAGACCAATGCATGATTTGCTCAGAAAATAAGTATTTTTTTGTTTTCCCAATGGAAATCTGTTGTTGTTTGTCCTTTGTTTTTGAAGAGGATTAATGACTTCATGGGGTGATGTCTTGACTTGCAAGTGAATTGATTTAAATGGGGCAGAGTTGTGTAAAGTCCTCAGCCTCATTCTTTCTTCCAGAGTCATCAAAGTCTATTGGCAAGACAAAAGTCTAGACAATTGATGATGGCCTGGGATGCTGTGGATGATTTTGATGTCTGACCAAGCTCTAAGAGCTCCACAGTGCCTGCTTCAGCCACCTTCATGACTGGTAGAACAAATTGTTCTCATCCGCCCATTCCAGGGCAAGTCTTCACACTGCTTGGGGTAGACATCCTTCTAACTCATAGATGGGTTTGAGACCTATAATCTGACAAATGTAAAGATTTAAGGTCTTGGGATAAGAATTTGCTGTTTGATAAAAATTGTTGGGAAAACTAGAAAGCAGTTGGGCAGAAATTAGGTATAGTCCAGCATCTTACACCATTTACCAAAATGGATACATGGCCTAGATGTAAAGATATCATAAGTAAATAAGAAGAGCTTGGAGCATATTACCTATCAGACTTATGAATAGGAGGAAAATTTATGTATAACCAAGCAATAGAGAACATCGTGAGGTGTAAAATGGTTAATTTTGATTACCTTAAATTAAAAAGATTTTGTGCAAATAAAACCAATGTAGCCAAGATTAGAAGGAAAGCAGAAAATTGGGGAAAAAATTTTATAAAGTTTTTCAGATAAAGATCTCATAGCATATATAGAAAACTTTGTCAAGTTTATAAGAATGAGTCATTTACCAATTAATAAATGGTCAAAAGATAGAAACAGGCAGTTTTTCAATGCAGAAATCAAAGCTTTATATGGTCATATAAAAAATGTTCTAAATAATTATTGATTAGAGAAATGTAAATTAAAACAACTTTGAGATATCGTGTCACAGCTATCAGATTGGCTAAAATGGTAGAAGAGGAAAATGACAAATGTTGGAAAGGTTGTGGAAAAACTGAGACACTAATAAATACACTGTAGGTGGAACTGTGAACTGATCCAACCGTTTGGAGAGCAATCTGGAGTTATGCCCAAAGAGTTAAAAAATTGTGTATATGCCCTTTGACTCCAGGCCCAGCGCTCTATCCACTGTACCATCTTAGCTGGCCCAGTAGTGATAGTAACTAGCATTTGTATAGTGCTTTAGGGTTTGCTAAGTGTTTTACAAATATTATCTCATTTGATCCTCAGAACAACCCTGGGAGGTAGGTGCTGTTGTTATCCTTATCTTGCAGATGAGGAAACAGAGGCAAACAAGTTAAGTGACTTCCCTAGAGTCTTTGGTAGGATTTGAATTCAGTTCTTCCTAAATCCAAGTCCAGCACTACCTAGCTATCTACTATAATGAGAAATCATTATTTTTTTGGCATGCCATTATGTCTATTATATAAGATTATGATTAAGAAATAAATGTTATATAAGAAATTATGATTTAAGAAATAAATGTTAAAAACATTAATAGTGACATCCTTTATAGCCCATAGCACAGTAATAATAACAATAAAAACATAAGCAAAAAGATGGAGACTTGATATCGACATCCTGAATAATGAGTCAGAGAACAAATTATAGAAACAATAACTGTAAAAGAGAATGCTAATGAGACATCATACCACAATTTCAGGGATGTAGCTAAAGTAGTCTTTATAGGAAAATAGATGTCTCTGATCATATAAATTACCAAAATAGAAAAACAGAGGATTAATGTCATGAATATACATGTCAAAAATTAGGTCTAACTGTGGATTGTTGAAGATACTGTCAAACTTTCTCTAGATTCCTTAGTTTTGCTAAACCTTGTCCCTTCTCTTTTCCTTTTTGTTATAAGGAGTCACTCTCTGAGAAGGGCACAGGGATGGGATATGCTGGGAAATGCTGGTGACATAAAACCTAACAGGATCAATAAAAATATACTCTAAGCAATTTTAAAAATCAGTAAATAACCCCAAAATAAGCACAAATGAGGAAATCTTGAAAAATAGAAAAGAAATAGTTAAATTGGCAAATGAAAATATAAGATTAGTAAAAGTAAAAGTAAACTAAAAGCTGTTTCTTTTAAAAAACCTGACAGAGTTGATAAACACAAGCTGAAAGCAGAAATTGTGATTATGGCCAGAGCAGAAAGGGACATAAAGGTAATAAACACTAAAGAACAACAACAATATGACACAACAAAAGGGGTGGAGAAGTGTCAGAAAGAGAAGATGACTTTGGGACCTGGATGAGAAAAAACAGACCCAAACTGGAAACCTTGGGGGGAGCTGCTTCACAAGCACATACTCTTGGGGACTTTCAGTTAGTGAAGTAATTGTTTTACTCAAGACCAACTTTTTGTTTCTTTTTACTCTATTTTACCAAAGTTAGTTTACCAAAGTACTACCAGGCTAAAATAATTTGTGACTTTCATTTTATATTGCTTTATGGAAAATAAAGGAAATATTCTTTGAACATTGATCAATTGTCCTATCTGTTTTTCTCCCTTGAACAGATTTCAGATACATTCAGACAAGCCTCATGGAAGCATTTTGGGACACACCATTCAAGACAGTTATTTGAGATTACAAAGGTAAGATTAAACAGTCTTTTCTGCTCTGTTACAGCTGGGGGGAAAAGTGCAAGCCCTTAGAGCATTTTCCAATTTATGCTGCGTATTTTACATCTCTCATATAATTTCCCTTTTCATGTTTTCTAAGTGCTTCAGAGATGAATAGGAAGTTATATTTCTGCCCCTGGGAATGAAAAAAAAATCAGCACTGAAATATTGTGTGTATGTGTGTGTGTGTATGTTTGTGCGCTCGAGCGTGCCACTCCCCCTCCCACCTTTTAACCCCTTAAGAAATGTTGCTGAATTTCTCAAAATCAATGCCAACTAGAATAACATGTTCCGAAAGCTTTTATAAATGTAATGGCAGTTTGTTGACACTCAAATTTATCCTGGTGGTTTCTATGTGATATATGGAATGAAGTGAGTTTTTTAAGTGACTGACGCAGAATGCCAGTGTGTTAGAATCCACATAAGCTGCTGAGTTTGCATCTTGGTTTCACTTATTGGGAAATGAATGGCAATTCGAGACAATTGCCAGTACTTTAAAAAGACATAGGTGAACTTTCTGGATGGAAGGGAGCCCCCAAATTGGAAGCTAATCCAAATCCTAACTCCTTTGCTTTTGAAGCTAGTATTTAAAAAGAGACCTCTTTCATAACTGAGTTGTTTGAGGCCCTGCTATGTTATTTCATTCTCTGCCCTTTGCCTTTTATGAAGGTCAAGTTGATCTTGGGTTTTCACTTGAACCTATAACATCACTTGTTACCTCTGCCTTCAGGGATAACTGGTTATATGGAGACTTCATTAGATTAAAAATCTCTTTTCTATGTTTTCTGTTTATAAAACACACCCTAATTTTTATCCCAAAATCAGTAACTAATTTTGAGTTATAGCTTCTTGTTGGTTCAAAACTGGTAGTATGATGAACTTTATTTGTGTTTTCAAAGCACTTTACTCTGATTAATGAATTATTGATAATTGTGGCTACTGCAGAGGCGTAATTAATTTCATGCCTTTCGTGAAGTGTTCTTGGTTGTGACAATGCTTTTCTTTTTAAACGTTGAAACAAAAAGATTAACTGTTTTGGCTGTGTCTCATGTGTTTCCCCCCCCCCGCTTTATTTTTGTATTTTTCTAATCAGAGGAACACTTTTATTACACTGATCCTTGGCCCCACTCACCCTCTTCCCCCTCAACTCCCTTTAGTGTTTTATAATAGGCGGGAAAGTGCCTTACTGATTCACAAGTGTTATTGGGAAATTTGTGCATCTGTCTTTCTTTTTAAACTTAAAGTTCTTCAGTATATATGTGCATGGATAATGGAAGGATCACTGGATTTGGAGCCCAAAGACCTGGCTTTGAATTTGAGTTCTACTAATTATTAGTTCATTAGACTGTAGGCAAGTCACTTCTCTTTGACTTCAGTTTTCCAACCTCTCAAGAATTTTATGGATTTGTTATGAGGAAAATTCTACAAACTTCAAAGGCCTGTTATTTTTCTTAATATGTAGAAATTACAAAGTTCAATTCCTGTTCAAGGAGTTTGTGATCAATTAGAGAACAATAATGATAGGCAGCATGGCTTAGATTTCAAAGCAGAGTATCTGGATTTGAGTCGGGACTCTGATACTTACCATCTTTGTGACCTTGAGCAAGTCCCTAACTCCTCTGCGCCACTTTTCTTATCTTTAAATGAGAGGGTTGGACTAGATGACAGCTAAGTGTCCTTTCAATTTTAAATTCTGTGATCCCATAATAGGGGAAAATAATTGATGCTAAATCAGATACACTCACTGTAAACTGAGAAATCCACTTGAAAAGTAGGATATAGTCAGTGGTCATGTATCTTATTAAAGCTTGCTTACCAATTGGGACATGCTAAATCAGCTTTACTGTAGTGGTAAAAGGCTTTATGAGAGACATTACAAGTCACATCATTTTCACACATCTTAGTTTATCATAGGATATAGCGTTAGAAAGACCTTAGAATTGATCTTAAAGAAGAGAAAAGTGAGGCCCTGAAAAGTGAAGGGAATTGCCCAAGGTCATAGGAGCAAAGATTTAGAGCTGGAAGAGACTTTAGAGCTCATCTGATCTAACCTCTTTCTTTATAAATGAGGAAACTGAGGTCCCAAGAGGCTAAGTGTCATGGCCAAGGTCAATTTATTAAATGTCAGAGCACAGCTTCCAACCTGAGTCCTGTAACTGCTTATCCAGGACTCTTTTCAACTGTGTCTTGGTGCTTCCTTGAATAAGCACATTTTAAACCTCAGCCAGTAGCTCACTTATTTTAAGCAGTGTGTACACACACACACACACACACACACACACACGCGCGCGCGCGCGCACACACGCACATATTGTTTTGTTATAGTGGAGTTTTGTTCAAATGAATTTATTACTAGAAATATTTCTATATTGCAGTAGGACTTCTTGATTAAACATAGTGAGCATTCAGCCTCTCCTATAACAACTTACTGTACAAAAGAAACACATATAATTTATGCAACCACAAACTACTTCTTGTCTTCTGGATTATGCTGTACTTTGCTTTGGAGGGGATTTGGGGGATATTTGAGGATGGGAAGAGGAAAGGGGATTTGGGAGAATTTCAGAAATAATTCTAGCATAGTAGAAGTATAAACAGCTCAGCTGTCATCCTCCATACTACCTACAATCAAGTATAAGCATTTGAGCATTCTGTTAGAGAAAGTATTAACATAGATGGGGAACATAGGAAACACTGTTAATTGTTTATTATTATTATCATCTTTATTTTAAAATTATTGTTTTTAATTTTTAATTATAATTATTTATTATTAATAGATCCTTTAAGATGAAGAACAGTTTTAGAAGGTATCCTTTTTATTGTGCAAGCCTTGGAAATGAGGTTTTGAACTTGAATCAAATTCCACTAAATAATAATCATTTCACTAGGCTAGCCAAGCCAGCTTCTAAGAATGGGTTTCTTTGAGCATTTCTGAAATAGGAGATTGTTGAATAACTCATGAACTGATTGGTGTCATATTCAACCAGGCTTGCCAGACGTGGCCATTGGTAGAAAAGAGAACATGTTGGCACGGTCATGCAGGAGGAGGACTTCACACAGACCCGAAGGAAGGGGTAAGAGGAAGTCAATAAATGTTGCTGGGAATTCCTATTCATGATTCTCTTTATGTATCAAATGCATAATTAAGAGTTTTTTATGCTATTTCTGTACTAGAAAAATGTGGTTGGTCCAGTTAATTACAGTTTTTTGTATATTGCTAAACCACAGATTTGAGGTTTGTTGTCTAGATAAGGCCTTAATATCAGTTGATGGTCCATATGTTTTCAGCTTAAACTTTCTAGTTTTGTAATATCACATTGGTGGTTGTTGAACCCATCCTTGTCAGTGAGGTGGTTGATTAGTCATAACATATTCAGGTAAGGTTTATGGCATGTTTTTTTTTCCACTGGTTTGTTTGTTTTGAAGCCTAATGTAATTTTCCCCTTCTTTCCCACATCTATTAATTTATTTGTGTAGAATTAGTTATAATAATAGCTCACACGTACATAGCACTTAATATGATCTAATAGAATAATAGACTTGTATTTAGGATATGGATTCAAATCCCAGCTCTGCTATTTTTGTGTGACTTTGGCCAATGCCAGGTGCTTTTTCTGTAAAATGAGGAGGCTGGCCTAGATAATCTCTAAGGTTCCTTCCAGGTCTAAATTATGTGTTTGGGTTCAGAAAGTGCTTCCTTCACCACAATTCTGTGTGAGGTGGGTAGCTCAGTGGTTCTTATCTCCATCTTACCGATGAAGGTCTTCAAGTCTAGATTTTCCCAGGGTCATACAGCTAATGTGAAGTAGCAGAGCCAATGTTTGAACGTTGGTCTCCAGACTGCAGATCCATTGATCTGCTGCCAGGATCTACTGAAAGTAGATGGTAAATCTTCCATCTCTTTATAATCATGTAGACAAAATAAAGCAGTAGAACCACTGTTGTGTTATGTAGAGTCTGGCCTGTTAGTGGGACAGAGTTAACATAATGATCTCCATTTCCTTTTTGGGAGGCTGGATTTTCACTCTATTTCTTTTGAGTAGATCCATACTGCACTGGTAGTATACTTTCTCCTTTCTTTTGTCAACTTTCTTAATCCTTTTCTCTCTCCTTCAGCTGAGCTCCACATCCAGACAGAACTAGAGCATTGTGAGTGTTTGTGAAAAGGGCTAAGTTGGAGAATCATTTCCTTGTCTCTCCTCTCAATGCCTCTGATACTAGTAGTATCTTCCTCCTAAGAAGCTATGGGGATCAACTATGATAGAGTAGAACAGAAAAAGAGAACCATACAATAAATCAATAACAAAAAAATGAACAAGCAGTTATTAAGTGTTTACTACATGCCAGGCACTGTGCTAAGCACAGGGCATACAAAGAAAAAGTGGGAGGATATATACTTGTGTGTAGCTATATACAAAGTCCACATATTGGATATATACAAGATAAGGACAAAGCAGAGGGCAAGGCGCTGGCAGTCTGGGGAATCAAAAAGGTAGCACCTTGAGCTGACTCTTGAAGCAAGCCCTTTAAGTTCAGCCTTGTAGTGTAGTTCTTTATGTACGTGCCTTAGCTTCCTTTACCTTGTAGGCTCTTTAAGGTCAGGGACCTGTCTCATTTGTACTTGTATAACCTGTCCATGGTCAGTGCTTGACAAATGTTTGTTGAATTGAATTGAAATTCTGAGTTCTTTATGATTAAAGCTAGCAAATGATAGCACCATATAGTTAAGATGCTTTAATAGCAACATATAGTTAAGACTATTCTTATCAATTTATTCTTCATGTAAACACGATGGAATTAGGGTTAGAACTTGACATTCTGTTTCTGTTCCACAATTTAACGTGGTGCCTGCCAGCTTTTCTTTCAGCTGATAATGATGCTTAAAGTGTCAGTTCCAGCTAGTTTTGAAATTTAAAGCCATTTAGCTGCAACAAGAACAACAAAAAATAGGTGCCTATAGAGATCCTGTTGTGATTGTATCTGTGTCAACAGGATGGCAAGGATAGTTCCGTTCTTTTGCAAGTCTGTTCATGAAAACATTTTAGTGTCTATTTTTACAGAGTGGGGTAGTCGGATTACATAATCTCTTAATTAATATAGTCATCAATATTGTAGGTTTTTTTCTAACTTTAAAAAAAGTAATCTCCCCCAACATATAGAATGGGAAATTCAAAGACTCTCAGGCTAATTTACATTCCCCCTTTCTTAAAAGACTTCACTGAATCCATCCATCCTTTCTGGCTATCATCTTTTATCTCTTCTCCCTTTTGTAGCTAAACGCCTTGTTAAGGTTAATTGTTACCTCCGCTTCCTTTCTTCTCTCTCTCTTCTTAACTCTTTGTAATCTGGCTCCTGCCTCATCATTTAACTGAAACTACTTTCTCCAAAGTTACCATTAATCTCTTAATTGTCAAATCTAATGACTTTTTTCTCAATCCATATCCTTCCTGACTTCAGCTTTTGCCACTCTCTTCATCTCGCTACTCTCCTCTAGGTTTTCACAACATTCCCCTGTCCTGATTCTCCTCCTTCTGACTGCTCCTCCTCAGTATTCTTTGCTGAATCTTCATCCGAATCCTGCCCACTAACTGGGGGTGTCTCCCACGGTTCACCAGTTCCCATGGATTCAGTTATTCTCTCTATTCATATCATTCTGAGATCTATTTATCCAGCCTTAGCCTCTGTTCTGACCTTCAATATCACATCTCCAGCTGCCTTTTGAATATCTCATAGACATCTTAAACTCAACACATCCACAGCTGAACTCATTACTTTTCTCTTAAAACCTTCCTCTCTTCCTAACTTCTCTTCCCAGTCATCTGAGCTCACAACCTCAATGTCACCCTAGACTTCTCCCCCACGTAATGTTTCCAAGTCCTGTTCATTCTACCTTGATAGTATCTCTCATATAAGCCCCCTTCTCTCCTCTGACACAGAAACCACACTTCTGCAGGCCCCTATCACTTCACACCTGACTATTGCAATAACCTTCCCACTCCACTCGGCTTTTGAATTTATCTTGCTAAAGTATGGGTCTGACCATATCATTCTCCTATTCAGTAGACTCCATTGGCCCCCATCACCTCTAGAATAAAACATAAAATCCTCTATTTGGTTATTAAAGCCCTTCATACCCTGGCCTCTTTTTTGCTTTTCTAATCTTACACCTTCCTCCATCAATTTATTCTACAGTCTAGTGACATTGGTCTCCTTTCTGTTTCTCTCATAATTCACTCTATCTCCTTACTCCACATATATTTCCTGGTTGTCCCTCATCCTTGGAATATTCTCCCTCTTCATCTGGCTTCTCTGGCTTCTTTCAGTCTCAGCTAAGATCACACTTTCTACAAGAAGCCTTTCTCAGTCCTTCTAATGCTAGTGATTTCTCTCTGAGATTACCTCCAATTCATGCTGTATGTTTCATGTCTCCCCCATTTGAATGTCAGCTCCTCCAGAGCAGGGACTGTCTTTTTGCCTCTTTTGGTATCGTCAGTTCTTATTAGCACATGCTTGGCACATAGTAGTTGATTGATAAATGCCTGTTGCTCACTTCCTTGCTTACATATAAATCAGTCGACAAACATGATGATGTATTTAGGCCTACCTTGTGCCTGTTACTGTGTTATACAGTGGTTATACTAATACAAAGGTGACAATCCCTGCCCTCAAGGCAGATTTTAGCAGAATTACTTAGAAATTACCTAGCCTTCTACTAGTAGGCTAAGTTAAAAGCAAACGATTAAGAGCTCCTCCAGCCTACTCATTGTTTTGCAAAGAATCCAGTTTCTTGCCACTACCTTTGACCACTTTTCCCTTTCCTCTATTTTTATTTTTAAGAATTCAATCTGAAAATGACCCATTTTCTATTTTTGCTTTCTAGTTAGTTTGAACTGAAAAAAATGAGCTGATTAGACAGTGATATCTAATTTAGTCTTAGACTTGTTGCTTTTTTCTTTTCTAGAGGCAGATAGGTGGCATGGTGCTGTATTTGGAGTTAGGGAGACCTGAGTTCAACTCCTAACTCAGACTCATATTAGCTGTGTGACCTTGGGCAAGTCACTTAACCTCTGTCCCAATAAATTGCGTATAATACCACCTGCCTCCCAGTGTTGTTGTGAGAGTCAAATGAGAGTTTTTTTACCTATACATACATACATATATATATATATATATGTGTATGTGTATATATATATATATATATTAATGGTTTACTCCCCCCCACCCCCCATTTTTGGATTTCTTTAGTATTCTCTTGGATGTACAAGGCCAAGGAATTAACTGTGGTGGTTTCAGTTTATTCCACCAATTTTATTTTTGTGCATCAGAGAAATTGCTGTGGAATTCTTTAAAGAAAAAGTCCCCAAACCATATCCTTTAGTCTCTCAAAGTGCCTATCAAAAGCCATATCTTTAAAAAAAAAAAGTCTTAGTTTCCCTTTCTTCATCTTTCTCCTTTTATAGATTTCCTGAGCTATGTATGTATGTATGTATGTATGTACGTATGTATGTATGTATGTATGTATGTATAAAAGAAGGTGGGAGTGTAGAATATGAATTTTTTTTAAAAATGCCCTCCATTCATTTATTGGATTTAGAGTTGGCCTTAGCTTAAAAAGGAGAAATTATTTTTTTTCAAACTTTGTACTTTACCTAAACTAGAACTGAAGTCATGTACTTTATAGCTTAATGGATTCATAATGCGTAATTACACAACTTTGGAACCCATTTTGTTAAATGAAGTGGTGACATTTTATGCACAATTAACCCAACTAGAATAATTTTCTTGCTTTTAGCCATAAGATCTCTGTGTCCTTATTGGTGTATATTGTAGGAGATCCTGACAAGAGAGAGAGCTTCCCGTAGCCCTGCAGGGCAGCGGCTTTTTGTTGTTGATTCATCAAGAAAAATAAGGCTTACAATACTCAGGAAATGCTTAAGCAATTGAAATGTCCCTGTCTGTGTTCTAAATGCACCAAAATGATACTCATTTAGTAATAGTATGGTTGGAAAAATGAATTTTAAAATTATAGTTCCCTTCTATTTACCAAGAAACAGCTACCTACTTATTAGAGTTCTTATGTATCTCTTAAATGTACCTGTGTTTGTATGTGTACACACACATATTTTTGGTTTAATTTTGTTTAACATAATTTCAGTATTTAATATTAATGCTGCCATAAGGTTTTAAAGCAGCAGTAGACTGTAGTTTCTTCTGTTTTCAATACAGTGTGACATTGATCTTATTTATGGCAGTCTATACTCAGCAAACTGACAAAAATAGACTCTGAATATAGTTTGTGAAACTACAAGCAGAAAATGGCTATGTGCAATTTATGAGTTTCTTTTATGTAGTACATATTTTTCTCTTCTTAATGGAAAAAAACTGATTGAAATCAAGTAACTTTTATCACCTTTTCCTGAAAGATAGCTTTAGTCATTGCTTTAATACATACTAGTATGTTCCCTCCTTCCACCCCAATTTTAGTATATCCAGTTTATGTGTCTTTGATTGTTTTCATTTATGCTCATATACTTTAAAGTAAAATAAAGTGATTTGTTGAGGTTATTGGGGCTGGTGAGGAAAAGGTGATGAAAATTTGAGTTTAAAGAAGCAAATTGGATTAAGGTCAGGGTTGACGAGTGCAGCTGGCAGGCTGTGTTGTTGAAGATGTTTAGTTTTACACAGTTACTTGGCTCTGTTTAGCCAGTATTAGGTCCTAATGCTGCTGAATTGTGAGAAGTGACTTAGGACCTTGAAGTATTCTAAATGACAATATGAAATAAATTAAAAGGACTCATGATGAAAAATGCTATTCATCTCCGACAGAGAACCGATGGACTTGGAATACAGATTGAAGAATATTTTTTTCTTTCTTTTTTTGGGAGGGGTGGAGGATGACAGCTAATATGGAAATATATTTTGTATGCCTTCATATATATAATAGATATCGTATTTCTTACCATCTCAATGGATGGTAAGTTAGAGGGGAAGGAGAGAATTTTTAATTGAAAATAAAAAGAAAATTTAAAAAATAACTACAAAAGTATAATATTTCTGACTATAAGCTTTAAGGTGGAGACATTTTTCTATGATTTTCTGATGATTTAATGAAGATAATCTCCTTCCCTTCTGAGCTTCTCTAGAATAGGTTAGGATCTGAGATTTGTATTTCAGTTTTTAAAATTAAGAGAAATCCTTGAGCTTAAAAAATGTTTTGGAATAGCTTTACGTTTCCTAAAATTGTTTTGGTATTTTGAAAAATACTGGATTTAGATTCAGAATAAGTGATATAGTGTTGTTCCCCTTAAATTACCTAATATTTGTGCAAATATTTCAAATATTAAAGCATATTTACATTTGAAGTTACATCTTAATATTTCTTTTTGTTTTTTTTTTCCTTTAAACAGCTAAAAGATGTAGATACCCAAAAAATCCTAAAAGTAATGCTTTCGTATGTATGGCCAAAGGACAGACCTGATCTGCGAGTTCGAGTTGCCATTTCTCTGGGCTTATTAGGAAGTGCAAAGGTAAGAGAGATGGACTTGAAGTGGCTATTCTTGTAACTTAGCAACTCCCTGCTGCATTCTAGCAGTGAGCCCTTGGGATCAGAGAATTAGAGCTGAGAGAGACCTCAGAAATCGGCTAGGCTTCTCTGCAACATCCATAACCAGGGGCCAGCTAGCTGCAAGCGATGGGAAGCCCATGATATAGGTGACACTGAGGAGTACGACTATTTACATGAGTTCTGTCAGAATTATTCCTAGAGGGAGTAAACTCCCTCTCTGGTGGTTAGGCATCTAGGAGCCACACACAGCTTTCTATATAACACAGTCACAAACTCTGACAAAGGGCAATAGCTGTAATAAAGCCCATGCACATTATTTTCAGAGGCTTTATAAACTCTGGGTTTTATCATTCCCTAATTCACAATAGATTAGACAAAACAAATTGAAGCGTGGTTAAATCTGTTATTAGAGACAATGAAGAGATGTAGCTGACAGTTTAACACCAAGGGAGGAAAAAGAAAACCTCGACCAGAGATGTGAAGTGAGCACAAACAATACTTTATATGCCTGTTGTTTTCACTGTTAGAATGTAAGTTCCTTTCAAGTAGGGATTGTTTCATTCTTTGTGTTTGTAGCTGGCCTGACACATTAGACAATTAATAAATGCTTGTAGATTGATCACTTTATTACAAGGTAGATCACTTTATTATGAGATGTCTATATGACAAATACTGTGAGTCATCAGAAAAGGTTATATCATATTATAACTCTCAGTTTGAGACAGCAGACCAAGTATAACATGTGTCTTAGAGTTCTATAAAAAAACCCAAAGTTTTGACTGAAAGGTGTAAGCTTCTTTTATCTAGAAAATTAACTTGAATAATATAGCTCATTTTCAAATGTTATTAGATAAATAAGATATTATTGTCCTTTAGCTGCTGCTTTGAAATATTTGGATAAAACATTTTCTGTCTTCAAAGTTATTTCTTATTTACTTCTTCACTAGGACCACCTATTTTTCCTTGCCGGGACCCATTTTCCTCTCCTCCATCTCCCTTTTTAGTACTTAGTGCTTGTGAGCTCTACTTTAGCCTTTCCTCAGGTTGCCAAGCAACAGACAGATAATCCATGCTGCAGGCTGTTTGTTGAAGTCCAAGGGACAGGAGAATTCTAGCAGTCTGATTTCAATAACTAACAGTGCAATGTTTTGAACCCTGGTAATAATATTACAGTCAGCACCATACTTAAAGCAATTCTGTATTTTATATACAAGTTATATACAGTTAGTATTTAGCTTTCAGACAAATTATGAGTGGCCATTTAACCTTTAGCATTTTAGTAACTGGTGAGTTACAGGTAAATTTATGTTTATTCTTTTCTAGACTTTGTGTAGAGCAAAGGGGAACAGATTAGAAGACTGATGAAGTTGTTCACAAGGAGGAGTTCGGACTAATGAGATTTGTTTTTAAGGAATAAGTTCAGATGCTCCAAAGTGTAGATTCCTTTGCTCTTCAAACAAAACAACTGTTTTGGTCAGAGCAAAATGATTGGGAATAAAATCTTATCAAGGTAGAGACCTTAGCCATAAGCTGACTTTCTAGGTGGCTAAAATATCTATAGGTTAAGTGCCTACAGAATGGAAGCCAGTGTCATTTTGTCAAATAGATAGATGCAGGAAAGGCAAACATTTAGACAATATGCTTAACTCCTTTTGAAATAGGAAAAAAACAAAGCACAATGTCATAGACTATGTCTACTGGTGTTAGCAGTGCCATAGAGGAAGATTATTGTTGCCGTTTCTTAACTTTTGGGCATTCCACTGAGCCTAGAGTGTTTGGGGGAGCATAGAGCCCAAGTGTACTCTCTAGTCATTCTTTCCCCAGATTCTGCATTGATCTTGGCATATTTAATATCCATGTTTCAACACCAAGGGTCTTTATTTAAACCCTTGATGCTACTGTTAGAATTTTGGGCAGCAATGCAAGTATGTTACTGATGTGTAATAATAATAATAATAGCTCATATTTATAGCATTTTAAGAAATATGAAGCACTTTCCTCATAACAGCCCAGTGAAGTAGATATAGCAGGTTGAAGCCTAGAGAGGTTAGTAGGTTGGCTGGTAATAGACTTAGCCAAAATCTTCCAGCTGGTGCTAATTAGCATTTATATAGGACTTTTGGGGATACAAAATACTTTACATATGTTATCTCATTTGATCCTCACAAAAACCCTGGGGTCTAGGTACCTGCTATTTCCCCATTTTACAGAATGAGGAAACTGAAACAGAGATTAAATGACTTGCCCAGAGTCACGTAGCTAGAGAGAATCTAAGGCCAGATTTAAACTCAGTTCTTCTTGACCCCAGATCCAGTGCTTTATCTGCCTTGCCGCCATCTGCCTCTAGTAAGTGTCTGACTGGTGGTTCTAACCCAGGTCTTTAGACTGCAGGCCCAGTGTTCTTGCACTATACTATGTCATCTCTGTCCAATCAATCTAGTACCCTGACTCAGTGCTTTAACATGTAAACAGTTTCAGGATGAAGTTGACTCCTCTGTACTATGTGCAGTGGTGGTTACCTGGTGCTTTCAAACCCTGTTACTGGCATGTTGCTCTGTTGAACTTGAGAGAATTTTGTACATTGTAAAAAGCTTGTTAGTAGGTTGGCTGGTAAATAACAATCAGTTGATCAATGAGTGTTCATTAAGCACCTGCTATGTGCCAGTCACTGTGCTGAATGCTAGGGATCTGTTACTTACTATATATTTTCTGCATTAGGTAATATTGGAATTTTTTTTTATCCAACTACTAGCTTAAAATTTTGTATTGTACTTTATTTCTCCAAGTATGTTTTAAGTTTAAGTTAAATCTTAAGTAAATTTTTTCCAACAGGGATGAATCTTAGAAAGGAGATTTTATTTAAAAAAAACCCCTTCATCACATTTTAAAAATAATCCTTTAACTAAGCAAAAGAAAGGAAGTTCCTAGCCACACTCCAGGGCATCTATCACATTTTCAGAATGAAGCCATTAATTCTTACTCCAGATTAATTCTTTCAATTCAATCATACCCCTTCATTCCCCAAGGAACGGACTAATTCAAGAAGCAGTAATATGAGTAATGGACTGAGAAGAATGACTTCTATAGTATAAATTGAAAGGTAAATGATGAAGGTGCTACTTAACATTTATAAGACACTTTTTAATTGAATCCATCCAATATGATTTGTCTAAAAACTATCACAGAAATATATTTATTAAGTTGTCATTTCAACTTTGAGTACTAGAGTCTGAAAAAAGATTAATTTGCTAGGTCACTTCTGGTGGTGATGTCATTTTTTTCAGTTTGATAAATACTTGATATGCCTGTTGTTACCACCATTTTACAAATGAGGAAACTGAGACTGAGTGGGTTAAAGTGACCTACCCAAGGATACACAGCTAGTGAGTATCTGAAGCATGATTCAGTTTAGGTCTCTCTGCCTCCAAATCTAGTGCTCTGTACATGCACTAAGCCACTTAGGTGTGTCGATGCCTTTTCTAGGTATTCTCAGTTGTAAAATGAAAGGGTTAGACTAGATTTTAAAAATTCATTCCAGCTCTGAATACTGTGATTTTAGGAAACAGAAAAAGGAGAGTGATGCATAGATTGAGGAGTGGCATAGTGTCACCAACTAATGGCCTCAGTAATTTTTTTATATCTTCATATATATATATTTGAACTCTGCCCAAGCTTCACACTTGGCATATAAAACCATGCTACCTTTCACTTATTCTTTTTCCTTGTTCTCTTTCAATTTTGGAGACCACAACTCATCTTGTATACTTCATTTGTTTCCAATGCTGTTGTATACATTTTTTAATCAGGTAGTTTTTGTTGTTGTTGTTACTATTTTATTTTTTTCTAATTACATGTAAAAACAATTTTTTAATGTTCATTTTGAAAAATTTTGAGTTCTAAAATCTCTCCCTCTCTCCTTTTCCCTCTCCTTGAGAAGACAGGCAATTTGATATAGGTTATATGTGTTCAGTCATGCAAAACACATTTCCAAATTAGTCATATTATGAAAGAAAATAGACAAAAAAACCCCCAAGTAAATTAAAGTTTAAAAAAGTATGCTTAAATCTGCATTCACTTTCATACCTTTCAGTTCACCAGTTCTTTCTCTGGAGGTGGATAGCATGTTTTCATCTTAAGTCCTTTGGAATTGTCTTAGATCATTGTATTACTAAGAATAGCTAAGTCATTTACAGTTGATCATTGTACAATATATTTTTTGAGTGTCAGATTGAATGTATTTTCCTTTTTTTTTTTTTAATTTGAGGATTATTAAAGTGAACAATGAAATGGCCTATAATATACTTGATTTTTTAATTTTTTGAAGTGACTTTTTTTTTAACTTGCAAACAAAAAATAAAGTGCTAAAATCCCATGGTATTAGAGATCAATGAGAAGTGAAAACAAAATATCTTTGAGTTAGGGATTTAAGTTAAAAGAAAGATATAATTTACAGAAATTTGATCTATATTCAGCTTTTCTGGAATGCTATAATAATATAAACTGAGGCAGACTTGCTTATGTGTCCTGATTCTCATTAACTAAAGGTTTCATCTATCCTTGTCCCTCTAATTATGCTAATAATGCCAGTCTGCTCGATTTTTGAGTCTTCCTACCCTTTTCCTTTTAACTAAAATCTCAGTGCATTGCTTCCAAAGTTGTATTGTGTTGATTTAAAAAATGTAGTGAAATATACCTTTTCTGAGAAAGGAATGTATTTTCTTTGCAGTAGTTCCTAAAGCCATTAATTGGGAAAACTGATTTGTACCCTGGAATGTTTTTAACTCACATCGCCTCATTAGTCCAGGAGCCTTGTTAACCTTTGGTCAGACAAATTGTAGGATATAATGTGATAAGACTGCATTAATATAAGAATTTTAATAAAAAGCTGCTTCACTTGTCACAAAACTCCTGCTGTTAGTATCGGGTGGTTCATTAAACATAGAGAAAAGTGGATGAGACCTT